ATTAAAATACCGCAGGGTGATCTCACCAGTTCACCATGTCAGCCGTAAGCCAATGACTAGATTAGAAAATAACCAGCTAAAATCTGAGCACAGAGTTTGTCAGAAGGGGAAGGCTGTTAATTATCCAGGTGGACTGACACAGTCACTTACACACACACGTGACTGCAGTCATTTAACTCACAACCACGAATACACTAAAAGAGTTAAGGAAACTCCAGTATAAGAAACATCTCTTCTTTTTTCATATTTTTCTTCTTTTTTCGAGGATGAAGGGCCAAAACAGCAGCTGTATTTAACTCCTTGTATCCTTCCCACACAACATTTGGGCACAGGTGCCTGTAGCTGGTTGGCAGCAGTAAATACTAACCTGTACCTTGAGAGTCATTACTAGGAATCAGCAGGGAAAAAAATTAAATTAAAAAAGAAAAACATTTTTTAAATGGCAGAGCAGATGGACCCAGCTGTTGAAGGAGCACGTTGCTCCTTGCTGCAGCTTCAGAAAATACCTGGCATATCAAGGTGTGCAGCACGCCCTGGCACTGCCGAGGGCATCTGCATTACAAACACCCCAGGCACCCTCCGTCTGTCCTTTCAGGTGTCAGCTGAGCCCAGGAACTTCCTCAGCAACACCTCGTCCTTGTCTCGCCTGATCAGGTCTCTGCAAGATGTTCACTGCTGATAGCAAGTGCCACCCTAGAAAGGCAAAGCAGGGTCAGGCGAAATGAGACTGCGGACCAGGCTGACCGACAGCTCTTTGTGCTCCCCCCCTTCCCTCCGCAGGGGGAACAAACAGCGAAGTCTGCCGCAAGTGCTCAGCACATCTCTGTCACCACATAATAATGATGATAATTATCAATAATAACAATAATCTGGATGTAAAGCTGCTCCAGCAGTTGGGGCTAATGGCTGCTGAATCTAATACCAGCCTTCCTGGAAGCCGCGTCGGTTCGCCAGCATTATAGTGGTTTTTGAAACTCAAAGAGAAGAGGGAAGCCTGGCACCTGGAGTGGCAGATGAGTGTGCTGGCCCCTTGTTGGCCACACTCTGGCAACTTGTTAGCGGCTGTGAACCCGTTTCATCAGAACGAAGAAAGTTTAATACCTTCTGGAATTTCCACTCAGATCAGCCGATGAGACTCTCTCGCATCTCTTCATTACTCCTAGTAGACAAAGGGCAGCCCTCTCTCTCTTGCCCGTATACACTAGACACGATGCAAACCCACCACTGCTTATCCCTAAAATGCTCTGAGGTGAGGAGACAACCTCCACGTGTTGTCAGAAGCTCCATTACATGCAGAGTACTTGATGCCCTATCACACCAGTATTTTTAATTAATCAGAAGTTTCTCCACTGAGATTAAACATGGTGTTAATTTCTCATTTACACTCCCCAATACATGGTCATTAATTAGCATACTAATTTGTTTCATTCTTTAGGAACTGCATGCCGTGGAAAACATTCTAAGTTGTCAAATGCAACTCATCGATTAGTCCAAGACATTCAAGACAGACTAATTGATAAACATATCAGAGCACTGACTAATTGGTGAAAAATCCAGCATGATGCATCCTGCCATCCCTTCCTTTGTAATAACATTCTTGAATTAATTAACAACTTGATTTTTCCTTCTTTTAATTAAGAAAACCACTGAAAACCAGAGTCTTTGTGGAGGGTGTCTGTTCAATTTTCTGGCTATGCTTGAAGTGCAGTCTACTTCATCTACCTCATTAGCTGAAAAGTAAGGAAATTAACCTACTCTGCAAACTAAAATTTATCATTGGGGCTAAGAGAGCTGATGTGGAAACTTAAAGATTCAACTTCAGCCCTCTTCTATTTATTATATGTATTTTTTTTAAGGTTCCTTTCTGATTACATAAATTAAAAGTGACTTCTACAAATCTGGAAGAGATGTGCTGCATACATTTCTCCGTACAGCATGCGTCAGCTTTTGAAACAGCCTAGTGTAATATGTAGTCTATATGGAACACATAGGGTAAAATATACCCAGTAAAAACGACTGAACATTCACAACTATGTCTCCAAGTAGTAATGCTCTCCCTGATCAGTCCATGTCCATGAACCCTGGCTACTCTCAGAGGAATTCTGCCGATATGTGAATATTTGCCCCTTTAATCACCGATAATTGCTTTTTGTGCTACCGTGTCAAATAGAATATAAGACCTACTGAAGCATTTGTATAATGTTTGGATTTCCTGACCTCCAGCTCTTAGAAAACAAAACAAACTGTCCTACTGGCCACTGTGGCATCCTGAGTGCTTGCAGGCTGCTGTGGGAAGAACCATTTTTCCCAAAACTATAGCTAAGAGGAAACTAAGCCAAGAAACCTCGTGTCACACAAGGGGCCAGATTTTGTCCTCAAAACCAGTGTGCGCAATGGTGCAGAGATGTTACTCATGACACCAGATACAACAGACTCAGGAGTAAGCGATAGCTCTCTGGAGGCTGCCCGTTATAACAGCAGCATTTGTTAACGTGGCACCTCTGCCAAGAGCCTTTCCAGCTGATGTCTCGCGTTGCCATAAGAACTGGCCCACCACGGTGAGTATAATATACACGATACCTCCCTGCCAGAGCTAGAAATAGGCGCAGGGCTCTGAAAAGCCTGATGACTCTGGCACATGTGAAGGTGAGGAAGATACGGCTGTATTCAGTCCAAGTTGTATGTAGTGATGAGTGACATGTTTAACCTGCTTTTCCTCTGCTCTTGCATGCCTGTTTTATTTACTTACCATCAAATGCTGAGGTTGTGGATGTGCCCTGTTAAGTCTTATACTCCGAATTATTTTTCTAGATGCCCAGAAAAGGGGCATTATGATTGATTTAAAGATTTAAATCCATTATGATGGATTTAAAGAGGAGCAATACCCTCTCAGACATACCCAGTCAGTCCATGCCCTTTAGCTTCGCGGTATCAAACGAAGTGTTTATTTTCAGGACAAATTAGCAAATAACCACTTGGGAAAGGGGACAGATTTCCTCTACTCCCTCTGGCAGCCTCCTCCCCTTGCTGCTGCAGTGGCACTGCCCTGGCCGCTTACTTGCACAATTATTAGCTTAAATAATATAGAAAAGTGATTTCACACGGGTGAAAATCCAAATCAGTCCGCAAATTCCCCTGAGGCTCCATCTTCCCCAAATGGAGCTTTTCCTCCTGCCCTCAGAAAGCCTGAAGGCAACACGCCTGCTTTGGTCCAGCCTAGCAGGGGCTTCCGAGCCGGCCCAAGGGAGCAGTGCCAGCACCCAGCGCAGCTCCGGCAGCCTCCTGGCTCCCCCGAAATAACAGCACTATTCTCATTTCTCACAGTATTTCCACTAATTTTCCAGGCCCCTTCTGAAATTATAACCTTTGCCAAAAAAATGTAGTGCCATTTGCCTGTGGAGGACTGTTTGGGCCACCAACTGGTGCTCTGGTAGGAAGGAGGAACAATTACAATTCTTCTTCAGATCAATGGTATTTACTTGCCTCTAAATATGGAGCACAGTTTACACCTTTAAACTACCTTAAGTAATCATTTTCCGGACAGAACAGAAAATCCATTTCCATTAGTTTCCAAAGACTCAGAAAGTATGTGTGTAGGAAGACCGCTTCCATAAATTCACCTTTTTAGAGTCACTGGGTAACCCAGAATTTATGCAAGTGCAGGTCAGTCAAATCATTCAGTATTTATATGCTCCCTTTCAAGCTCCAGGGAACCAGAGTAAAATGCTAAAAATAAGATACACATGTTATAATACGCAGAAGATTTAGAGATAGAACTATTCTGACAGGCCAAAATAAAAAACTTCATGCATATGATCTCAATGGCTAGGTCTGTACCTAAATCACATATTGATTTAACTCACTGTAGACAAGTTATGTAAGCTTTGGAATTATGTATGCTTGATCAATGTGTTTTAGAAATGAATCTCTGTCTGACTTAATCATTTAGGCAAGGGAAGAAGTCACATAAATATCCCTACATTTTACTTTATAGGACAGTAAACCAATTTCTAATCAAATCTGTAAGTAAACAGCATTATTTGTTTCCAAGAAATATCAATATTAAAATACTTTTCAAAGAAAATTTGAAAACAGACTTCAAAATTGTGTTATCTATTAAACACACATTATATTGATACGTGAGTATACAAACATGATGATCAAAGATACAGAGGCGAACGCAGTACCCCTTTGTAATATCCAGGGATGGAGAGTCCTAGCTGAAACAAATTGGATTCAGAGTCTCAGACATGAAAAAGTTGGATGCGTTTGATATTTTACTCCTCTGAAGTGCTAACAGTGATTCTACACTTGAGTGCAGGGGCAATGCCCCGCTTCAGCGCAAACGCGCTGACCCTAATACGGTAGGGAAGCAATAAATGCTTACACCTATACATGTAGGTCTCAAAGTGTTTTAAAACAGAGGACGTTTTCTCAGGTAGGGAAACTGAGGCACAGAAAGGCAAAATGACCCCCTGAAAGGCACAAGGCAAGCTCAGGTATAAATGCCAAGAGTGAAGACTTTTTATTTGAATGCCAAATCTAGTTGTGCAAACCTCCTCTCCACCACATCATTGCTCAAATCCCACTGGTGTCAGTGGGAGCTCAAGGACTGATTCTGACCTGGCTTAGAGCTGGCTCAGTCACAAACACACTCCTCAGCTTTTCCCTAAGGTCTTGTGTCCAAGCTAATTTTGGGGCAGTCCAACCAAAAGGTAAAAAGCTGACTCTCTGTTGCAGTTTCTCTGGGTGGCCTCAGCAATAAAAACCCGATGCTGATACCATTCCCAGGTCATTCCCAGCAGCATGGAAACAAGCTCTGCTCCCAGAAGAGCATTGTCCTCACCCAGCAGTGTGAACCTCAGCACGGACCTGTGGCCAAGTCCACACTGATACTCCCCAAGCTACCAACACATGAAAAATTGGGCAAAGCAGATTGCTACAGCCTCGGGGGATTCCCTGCGAAAGCGTATAGTCAAACAAGGAGGGAAGCCACTTACCGTACAGGACTGTAATGAGCGACACGGGCATGACCAGGATACCCACCAGCATGTCTGCCACTGCCAAGGACATCAGGAAGAAGTTCGTGGCATTCTGCAACTTCTTCTCCAAGGACACAGCCATAATTACCAATATGTTCCCCCCAATAGTCAACAGGATGACAACCAAGATCAGGAGGGCTGGCCAGTTCTTCTCCCTCACAGACATCCGAGAGACTTCGCCCTTCTCAGAGGCATTAAGAGGATCAGATGTAGGCAAACTCTGATTCAGAGTCAAATTGCTGCTTGAGGACCAAGCCATCAGACCACCATGCAAACTAAAATCCAGCGTAACAGACACTGTTGTTAAGCTGGGTAATATTCCAGTGCTACTTAAAGTGCTCATCGTCTGGGACTGGTTTTTCTGTCTCTTAACCGTGCCTCAGAGATGATCCCTTTTCCAACTTGCGGGTCCAAGGCAGATGCCGAACTTCACAAAACCTGAGCCAGAAAATAATTTGATCTTCCATAGTGAAATAAACCTTAGAGAAGTTAGCATGGAGCTCGTCTAGTTTCCTTGGGTGTGGTGGAAGATGACCACTGACCAGCAACCTCGAGGGAAAGGAGACTTTGCAATCTCCAGCTGGTTTCCAGGTCCACCATTCTGAAAAGAAAAGAAAAAGTATATTCTTCACTGAAATCACAGTATACACACCACCTTCTTTATCCCCAGGCAAATGACATTCTTATTCGCGCCCGTCCTGCTGGCTAGGATGTTCTCCAGACTGCGAGCAATTTATCTTATGGGTACAGACTATGCCTACAATTATGGGGGAGAGACAGAGAGAATGACATCAGCGTGCTCTGGCTGGTTAAAAGCTGATTATCACTAATTAAATGTTTTGTGAAACCTGCAAAAGCAAGTCTGACGAGCAAAATACATTTCGATTGATAGCCACTTCACAGATACTCTGCCGCTGTGTAAAATAGTAATTGCACAGAATTCCAACCAATCCAGATAGCGCAGCCAAAGCACAGTGTAAGCCCTCACCTTAAATGGAAGTGTTTGGATATATTTTGCATGTTCTGAGATAAAGCCCAGGTGTTGTAAAAACCCTCAGACGTTAATCATTAACTGTCCTATAATAATGAAGACTATAGTTTGGTTTTTATTGGGAAATAAATGGTGGATAAAACGCAATATAAATTAGGTGACGTTATACGATGCTATGCTGTCAATCTCTCGAAACAAACAGATAACAAAGAGTTAAGAGAAAAGAAAGGACAAACTTTCATAAAAGCTAAGCAGTTATTTCTGCTCCTCTTCATTCGTTTCTGTGCTGCTGTGCTTTCATGCTGATCACCAGCACGCAGCTGCACCAGTAAGCCCAGACCCGCCAGCTCGCTGCCCTGGACTACTGCAAGTATCTGCACCCTCATCACACGCACAGTCGGTAGGATAGATTTCCTCAGAGTATCTCACATGATTTATGCTTCTTCACAAATTAGTTGACAGTGAGGGCAAGTCAGATTACGGCCCCTGACTGCCCATGTAATACAGGCCAGAAAGCATCACACTGCTGCCTCTGAAGGAGCCCATTAGCCTCAAGCATTGACCTAATTCAGCAAATTAAACATACTCTTAACTTCAGGCACATGCCTACACCCACTGAGGCTAAGGGCATGTATTCCCAATCCTGGCTAAATCACATCCTCAGGAACTCAATCGTTTTGACTGCCAATCCTGTACCACTGATGAAAACAGCAGCTTTGCTTTGCATTTCCATTGCATCAGAGTCAGGATCCTAACAGCCATGTACAGCACAGGACTAAAAGCACAGAAGGCAAGCACCTAGTAGAACAACAAAAAAACCCCACACTGTACAGAAGTCGACCAGCAAGTAGAATAAAATCAATAGCATGCAACTTATGTTGAGCACATCCTCAACCTTTTGTGTAGTCCACAGGAAAAGAGCTGTTCTATCACTGTTAAATAAACAAGTAAATAAAAGCCAGACTTTAGTCCTTGAATACACTGTGGCATACATGTGACGCAGTAATTTGTTAACCAGCGATAAAAAACTAAATGTTATTCATAGGATTACGTTAGATTTTATGTAAAGTAAGAAGCGCTCAGAGTCCTATAATAAAACGTTTAACATTCATGGAGGTTTTGGAAACTTACTAATGGGCTTTGTGCACAAAAACACTTCTTAAATGAGCAGTGCGTACAATGAACCCAGATTTGCTTCTGCATTATAGTTAATTACTCCCAAAGGGTCTCTAAACCTCATATTTAGGAAGAAGTTTTGCACTATGTGCACAGAAAATAATTTTGCAGCTGCACATGCAGATGAATTAGCAAGTAGTCACTGGACCGTTTATTTTTCCAACTTAGCTGGTCTAAAAAAAACCTCTAGAAAGTTTCAAAATACTTCAGAGTATTTTTTTTCAAAATGCAGTTTTTACTTTACTGTGAACAAAATTAACCATTTTTCCAAATCACCTTTCCACAGTGAAAGAGAGACAAGGTGGCTTTGTGGCATCTGAGCTTTGCTGTGCAGGACACCCCGTTAAAGCCAGCGGGAATTTCTGGGTCTCCAGAAACTCTCTCTCTGGCTTGGTGACTCTTGGGCACTCCTGATCATACCACAATAATGCTTTGGCAGGATGAACAGAAGGTTCATGCCCAAACATGAGGACATGGCCAGACAGGAGGATTTCCAGACTTCGTCTTACTTCTTCCCAGGCCTGAGCTCTTGGAGGTCTTGGGGAAGGTGATGCTACCACCACTCTCACCATAGATGTGAATGAGCTTGATGTTGCCGGCACATGCTAGTTGGGGTTGCCGAAGGAACATGGGCAGGGAGATACCTCAACTCTAGATCATAAAAAACAAACAAACAAAAGACAACCTAACTGCAAGATGAGATTTCTGAATTAAAAAGGTCTAATTTAATAACTGCTCAGGACTGAATTCTGAAATGGTCAGTAGGGTCATTCTCTCTTGCATTTCACAAATGTATTTACAATAACATTTTCTTCCATGAATGATGTTGCCTCAGAGCATGGAGTTAAAAAAAATCAGTAGGCAGAATTATCACTTGCTTATTCATCAGTTTTATTATTAAAAATAAAATGTATGTTATTTGGCTACTAATGTACTGCAAAGCATGGGGTTACAAAGTTATACTAGCCACCAAATACAATTTGCTGTGAATTAAATTATACTCGGGAGAAAAATCAGTTTTGCCAGGAAAGTCTTAAGAAAGGGAGACTTCAAAATTCATTTGCTTGCTCCAGATGATCAGCTTTCAAACACACACAGGGACAGACTTTGAGCAAAACGTTTTCTAGACAAAAGTAAATTCTGCAAATCTGGTACACCCTAACTTCTCAGCAAGAAAGTTACATTTTCTAAAGTCTAACAGATTTTGCAATAATCCTTCCCTCACACTCCTGTCAGTAGTTAAAAATGTATGTTTTACACGCAAAAGTAAAATTATGCTATGATGTTGAGAAAGTAAATTTTTTAAATTAGAACTATAATGATAAAAATTAATCTCGGACTCCAAATTCCATCTCTGCTATTAAAAGGACTTATTATGTCTTTTAAAACTTGGCCCATTCACCTGTCTATTACTTGGAGTGACTCGTGAAGAGAACCATTACTGGTTTTGTGCCAACACAGAACTAGGAAAATAAAAGGAAAACGCAAAAGACACCTAAAAAAGCGTTTTCCAGGTGCACTTATGGAAATGCAATACCTGAAATAACTGGGTACCTATGTAGGAGAGAGGTGTGGAAAAGAAACGATGACACTGGCAGGAGCTCTGCCTTATCCTAGAGCCCCCAAATTCCTGGTTTAGATGGATTGAAGATGTTGGCACTGCTCTGTGTCACCTTGTCCCTGACAGTGGCCAGAAAGAAGTTGGCAGTGCTTGTTCTCGCTGCCACCAGCAGCCGCTTCTGGGTGCGACCAGGTCCCTGCACCTGGGAAATGGAGGAAGGAAGAGCTAATCTCTCAGACCAGAATAGCATCACCACTGGTATTGATGTTGCCTAAATTCGGCCATCATCAGGTCTGGAATAAACAGTGACAGACTCTCACCTCTTACCTTGGCATAAACAGAAAGAAAAACATTACATAGAAGAGAGGCAACTCTTAGGTCAGAGACAATGCTTCTGGTTCTGTTCTACCACATTTCTGTGAAAAACCCTGGGCTAGAGTCCTTATCAGGTCTCATTGACCCCCTTTTTTCTACATTGCCTTTATTTATTGATTTATTTTCAGTTTTCACTGCCTGAAGAATCATTGTTACTCATCCCAGAATAGCATCAAGTTCTCTAGTGGCAGGAATACCTTGGAGAGGACATCAGGATAATGAGGGTTTTCAAAAGTGGTGTGGATTTTTTCCAAGACTATAATGGTAAAAAAACCACCCAAAACAACTCCATCTCAACTGCCTAAAAATCAATAAAGGAAGCATTTTGCATATTCATCTTGAAAAATTATATGTAGGAACTTGACTACAGCAATGCTCAAGATTGGGCTCCACCTTCAGTATTGACCGTCCTATTGCTTTGTTAATACTTTCATATTATTTTACATGGATTCTGGCTTGACGTCACCAGCTTTCTTTTTCACTGTATCCCTCAGTCTCCACAAGGTAAAACTTTATGCCTAATTCCTTCAGCTACAGTCTTCTAAGCACATCACTGTACCAGAAAAATAATTCACATTTTATTCATGAATTCTGCATATGTTTAAGAAATATCTCCATAATTTTAAATTAAAACCTGTGCCTATCACATATTTTTTCCAATTGCTAACTTCGAAGCACACATGCTGAATTTTGTGGTCAATCACCAATTCCAGTTCAATCTACTACCAACAGTCCTTAAAATTATAATTTAAACATTCAGCAAAGCCAAGTTCTTGTTTATGCCACTCTTGCTTTTTGATAGAGGTAAGTAATGAGTTCTTTGGGCACTTTTTTTCCTTCAGTCTTTAAGTCCAGTTTAGAACAAACTGAAGCTAGAAAAACATTTTTGTTTATCTTCTATCAAGCACACATGAATTATTTAAAGCAAGAGTCTGGTATGCTGAAGTTTTCAGATATTCCAGAAGGTTAAGCCCAAGGGAAACAAAAGCTACGGTTGTTCTTAAGTCTGTACTGGTGGGGCACTGGGGGGTTCACACGCCTTTGTGAGTGTTTACCATCATTATTCTTGCGAAAAGGAGAAAACAAACCAACCAACCTTTCTTGGAATAAACACAATTATCTTTTTCTTTGAATTAAATGCATTCATCTTTAGTTGTTTTACCCTTTAAAGCTCAGAACATTTTTTCCTGGACAAA